TGAAAAATGCACATTTAGATCTGTTTTAATATTGACATAACCCCGCACTTATAAGGTGATGAAGGAAACAGATGCATTACTTTTAATGAGTAATGAAGATGTGTCTTCCCCATTTTACCACTTGGATGCATTTCCCCTAATGGTCAGCCATTTCTATTACCTGAAACTTTAGGAGGCACCAGAATGTAGGCCAAACACTCTTAAGTGCAGTGTGGACTCTTCCAGCATACTTATTAGTGGTTTATGAAATATTCACAGCATTTTACAAATATGACAACTTTCCTGAATACTGATGAGACTTACATGATATATCCATCAACTCTAAAGACATTAAGATGGTTTGGTAAATGTTCGACTTATTATCTCACTGCAAAATTGGTTCATAGAGTTAACCCTTGTGTTGTGCTCGGGTCAAAATTGACCCCTAGGTGAATGGCAAACAAGTATATGGGAATCCCGAGGACAACACAAGAATAAATGATTAAATGTTGATTTAAAAGTTTAGTGATTTTCATTAGAATAACATATTGTATGTATCCTAAAAGTGAGTTCTCTTTTTATCTTACTCTTCTCTCCCAGGCAATGAAATTTGGATTTATAGAGCTGATCAGTTGGAGACAGGCTACCCGAAAAGGTTGTCCAGCCTTGGCCTCCCCACTGACCTGCAGCAAATCGATGCTGCCTTCAACTTTAGGAAGAACAGGAAGACTTACTTCTTTGCTGGAGACAAATTCTGGAGGTAAGGAGAGTTAAAGTTTGTGCAAAGATTTGCATTTAATGTAATTAAAAGCCCTGTGTGACTTGACCTAGCTCTTGCAATTGAGGTCATAAACTGTTGCAGTTGTGTGCTATATCTGAACTGAGTTAGTGTTTGGTGTGACCTAAACGGTACAGTAACTCAACAGCTTGTAGTTTTTGGACATATGAAGCCGTAGTGTTTGTTTTATCTGGGAAAGTGCCATCATATGTGTTTCTGATGCACTTTATAAGATGCAAACCAACAAATGTCATTCAACAACAGAGGGTCTTTAAAAAAAAAAGTGAAATCATGGCTATCTCACTTCTATTATGCATATTGCACTGGTCTGCAGGCTCTTTGGCCTAAACAAACAGGTACAGCATGCTGGCCATGTCCACAGTCCCTGTCCAATTGTAAATCGACTTTTTAGTGCATTTACAGCCACAAACCTTGAGTAACTGAGAGTAAATCATAATAACAATGCAGCCAGAACAGTTTTCCCTAACTAACGTCCTATGTTATTAAATAGCAATGATATTAGTCATTATCTGGCTGATGTGCACACACCCAATTTTTAACAGGCTAAAACAGAGAGCAAAGCAAAGCAGCAACTGTACTTTGATAAAAGGACTGTGCATTATAAAAAAACGTTTTTTAAATTCTTTGGGTATGGGAGCGACCTAGTTAACAGTCTAGATTGTTACTCTACTTCTTTTACTTTTATTCTCTTCTCTAAATGATGCAAGAAAGGAACAACCGTTTATGAAACTGATGGTCAGATTAGCTACTAAAGCTCTGAAGGCATCCTCTGACAAAAATGTCAATACACTACATATTTTTGGCACAGCATAGAGTTGTTAGGTGCTAAATTAATGCTATTAATGTAATACATGTCATATGTAAAACCTCAGATGTGATTTCATTGTTGTGTGTTTACAGATATGATGAGACCAGCAAGACAATGGACTCTGGCTTCCCAAAACTTATTGCGGATTCCTGGAATGGCATCCCAGATGGCATCGACTCTGCCTTCAGTCTTAATGGCATTGGTAAAATAATACTTTTAACAAGTAAATTTGACCAAAATATGGCAGGAACAGTTATTAGTATGTGAATGAATTTGTTGCACGATTCATACCATTGTGCCATTGCTGTACTCTATTTTCCAAGAAAAACTGATTTCAAGCTTTCAAGATATTTTCAAGATATGGCAGTATTTAGGGAAAAGGATAAAAAGCTACACCTGCAATTTTGTTAGTTACAGAGCATTGTAGTTCTTTCCACTGAAAACAATATATGAGTATAAGGTTTCATAGGTATATCATTTTAGAACACTGTCATATTTTAATTAGTACTAAACAATAAGAACAGCTCAAACTAAGCAGGAGAAGTTTGATTCCGCCACATTTCATGGCAGCCCATGCCAAAGGAATGTCAAGACATTTGACTGGAAAATATGAATCAACCTCACTATGGTAGGAAAAGTCACAGGTTCCCCAAAAGGTCTTATTTTCTGGGAATTGTGAATGTTTGTACCAGATAATATAGAAAGCCTTCAATAGCTGTTGAAATATTGGAGTCCTGAGCAAATGGGGAACTTCCTGACTCTACCGCTTCTAGAGCCATGGCTCCAATATGCCAAGAATATGCCACACAACTGTTGCTATGCTCTGATAACGACACTAGTGTTTTTATGTGTGTGTGATTACTGTCTGCACAGCAGCATTCCTTCTGGTAAAATTGCAGGAAAATCCAGTCAGCTCTATCAGTGAGTCTGGCACTCTGCCTTTGTCAGTAAAACTCCTCATATACCAGAATTGAGCAAACAGTGACGCCTTCTAGGCAAAAAAAAAAAAAGTGTTTAGAGGAGTTGGCTACAGAAAGAATGTCAGGAAGGCAAATAGACCATAAGGAGTATTTCTGAAGTCAGGGAGTGATCAGTGGTTTTATAATGACAGAATTGTTACATTTTTTGTGAGTGAATATCACAGGTTAGTTGACACTTAATTTTACTGTTGGTGCAAAGTGCATTGCAGCCACTGTGAGAAGTAAATGGTGAATTTTTAATGTGAGACCACCAGTAAATATCTTTTGAGATTCTCACTGTCAGCCATGTATACTTGAGGTCAGAGGTGGTTAGCAAATTTTTGCCTATGGCAAGCAACCAGGGATTTTTTCATTGCTTCTCTCCTAACATACCGACAGTGCTGTAAGTGTCGCATAGGCCCTTCCCCACACCGTAAACAAACATATTTATATAAAGAAGGTCTTTCACCCTCTACAGAGGCGCCTCTGTGTACTCCCTCCTTAGCATAATTCAGAGAACGCGAGGCTTGACTTTGGCTTCTGATTGGGTATTTTAATTCTTGTACGCTTCTACAGAAGCTTGTTTATTTCACTGTTATTGCGTGGTAGTTTGTTTGACTTGACCAATTTAATAAAGAAAATTCTCAGCTTAGTAAATGTTTTAAACACAATGTGTATTCTGCTTGTCTTTCACAGACTACAGCTACTTCTTCAAAGGCCACCACTATTTCAAACTAGAAGACAGCAGCTTGAAGATCGTGAAGTTGGGTGAAATCACAAAGGACTGGCTCGGATGTTGAACATTTCCAAAATGTCTCACAACTAACTTGTGTAATGGTGACCTCTTGAGCCTCATGAGGACATTATTGTAGTATTGAACACAACTTAAGGTCGCTGCAGTGAAAACTGTTGTAATTTTTCTATCATGGCAACTCTGCACGCTTTCCTGCAGCCTGTATAACCGGTCTCCAGATTTGTAGAACGCCACCTCTGAACCTTCTTCGTAGGCTGAACATATGCAACTGGATATTTGCTACATTTCTGTGTGACTTTGACATTTTATTTGTTATGCTGTTATGCAGATTTATTACAATATGCACCCCATCTTTTATTATTTTATAGATTTTTTTTTCCCAAGTCAGACATCAGGTATGTCCACACTGCTTTAAATGCAGTGCTATACTGTGCTGGTCAATATTGCCTTTTTATACAAATTTGATTTCTTTAACACCATATGAGGAAATCATGTTGGCTTAGAATTATTTCAGTGTAATAAGTGCAGTTTAATAATTGTATCTGTTTAATTACGTTTTTCATTGTTGTGCGCTACATTTGAAAGAATGAATTTGCACAATGTGACCGAAAATGGTGCTTTTAGAGATCGCTTTTTGCATATAGTCCTATATACATTATATTCTGTATAACTATGTCTGATCGGACTACTTAGTATCCTCTGGATGTATAAAAGTAGTATTCCCAGACACATTATCCTTCATCTGATTAGCACTTTGTTTAGGACTATACAAGGGAGTGGCACAATAGGAAGACCAAATTATTCCCGTGTCAACTCCATGTTACATTTCCCTACACTAATGGTACAGAAAGATTAATGGCACAGGTTGCCTCTAGAGGCTGTATAGGTTTCATGCATAATGGAACCATGACAAGAGTACCGCAGTAGTATTGCTTAATTATCTTTTTTTACATGTTTTTTCCTTGTGATGGTTTGTTTATGCTTTTTGCACTGTCATCAATAAAGATGGTCAATATAATAAATCTACAAAATTGTGAATGATTAGCCATGATATGTGATCCTTATCCGCTAGGTACCAAAAAAAAAAGTGGGAGATCATATACCTTAGTGCACTGTATACATACTCTTGCAACACATTAGTGGTAAAAGTAGATCTATAATGCTTGTGTTATGAACTTACACCAGTGTTGCTTTGTCATAGAGTTCATCTTTATGATATATAGTAATGCTGGCACTTCTTTAAATTTTAAGGTTCTATAAGTAACAAGCGGGCTAACTTTAAAATAATCAGATATAAAATTCATTGAATAGAGCAAACGGACTTTATCTAAACCCCTGCAAAGACTATAATTTGTTATGAAACTGTGCCATCTTGTGGACATTTATGATAAATGTGTAGCCTTTGCATAAAATCAGTTATTTGCTCGTGACACCGCGATCGTCCTAACTTTCTTTAGCATTTACTCCCCCGGGAGTCCTAACCAGTGTTATTTTATCAAAGCACACAACCTACGAGACAATTTTAATCTTTTCCTATCTGAACCAATTTTTTTCGAGGCATCTAAATGGGATACCACTATATTTTAGATACTGTCGAAAGGGTACTGTCTAAAGTCAGTACCTTGCAAATGTAGTGACAGTGTACAAACATTCACTTAACAGTCTTAATTCCCCACTGCACAGCGGAGGTGGAGCTTGAAGCTACCGGTTTTGCTCTCGCGTGCTTGAGTTTTGTACTCGTCGTAACTCGCGCTTGATACCGTTTGGCTCAGCAACAAATGAGAACAGGTTCTCTGTTGAGGAAGTGAGATGGTAACATCACGGGGCTACAAATTAGAACTTCAGCCGCCTGTCATTTCGCTCACTGGACTACGATGCCACCGCAGCGAGTAGGTGCCTTGCCGAGGCAACAATCTCTGCTTTTGCCTGCGGTCATCAACCCGTTTGTCCAAGACACCAAACTAAGCAACGCTGCTATAATTAAAGTGAGTATTTCTTCTTCTTTTTCTTTTTCTTCTTCTTCTGCTTTTTTAAGAGATTGCACAAAGGCAGGATTTTGAAGAATGCTCGTTTGGTAACAGTGTTTCATAGTGTGACATAGTGCACTCAGGCTGCTGTATCCAGGGCCTGTAATCTTCTCCAACACGGCTTTGACAATCAGCTTGTAAAGCCTCCTATGCAGCACAACAGACTGAGCCACTGGGAGCTTTCTAGAATGCTTTCCAGCAATGTGGATTTCTAGGCTCGTGCATATTTCTGCTAGGTGGGAGGTCAGTTTTCAGCCAGGCAGCAAGTGACTTGAACACCAGGGAGGTTTGGGCCTGTAATTAATATGCATAAATGTACTCCTCTGCCTGCAGTGTGTCTTGTTGGGAATTTTCTTGGTCCCTCTTCGAGCTATCTTTATAACCCTGGTTCTGATGGTGTTATGGCCAGTGTCTGTCATTGTCACCTTCAAGCTGCCTCTGAAAGGAGCTGTGGAGCCAAGCACAGGATGGAGAAGGTAACTATGGATACCAGTAACATCCAGTCTTTCTCAGAGTTGGCCACGACTTTATCACACCTAAAGCAAAACAATAATAATATATTTAGCTTATTCTTGACATCAGTTTTGTTTACTTGCAAATGATCTTTTGCTTATTTATTTTTTCAAAACTTGGTTGCCCAGAAAAACTGTTTGGCTAATCTGGGACATCAATAACCCATTTGCCTTTTTTACTGCAGACATTTTGTTTGCTAAGCAACTGCATTCACCTTGCACGCCATCTTATCACCATCTGTCAAAGTGAATTGAACTACTACTACTAAACCCTTTCAACATATCTATCAAACAATAAACATATTCAACTCTTAATTTTTGCAAAAGTAATGAATTGTACTGAGGTGAGAAGAAGGATAAAAAGTCAGTTTTCGCTCATATGCTTTACAGAAGCAAAACATGCCAAAAAAATAATAGTTCCTGTAATAATGAATTAGCAGCTACTTGTGTTCATGTCGACTCATGCTTTTCTAGATCATATCCTCTTCACAAGCAATACCTCACCTCAGTTTCCTTCAGAAAGGAACTAGTCGGTGGGGGGTTAAGGGGAACTGGAAATGATGTTTTAGCCACTTTGTTCACCTCTGATGTCCAAAAGTAATAACAGACATTATAATTATAATAATTTTCTATATCTGTTTATATCTTATATGAAAAGGACTCATTCCACTGGACTTATTAAACAGTATGTCTGTACATATAGTCTGAAAATGACAATTAGTTTTGTAGTCTATATTTTACTTGGGTGTGTGTTGGCTTCTTCACACTTGTTCACAGTGTAAACCGTTCTTGTGATCTTAGACTACAACATTTTTCATACATTTTGCAGATGACTGACAGAAAAAAAAATAAGTTTAAACTATTGAAATCTTGTAATCTTGTATCTTGTCTTTTTTTGACAGACAGGTTAGGCTGTTACTACAAAGCTTTATATCAATGAATTTGTGTTGTATTGCAGATACCAGTGAAAATCGCCACCCTGCTTTGTCGAACCACAGGTTTTTTTAACCTTGATAGTTTGTTTGCATTAGTAAAATGATGAACCATCCTTCAGCTTAAAGGCTGTATACTATTTTTGGAGCCTGTGACAAATTGCTCAGAAGCACAGAAAGTGTGACATGATAGTTTAAAGCAGGGCATAAGCCCACACTGCATAATGAAGGAAGTGAAACTTAACCATAATAACTTGACTGATAGCATACGTTAAAACGTTTTACTGTAAGAGCCGATTGATTAATGTATCTTTAAATATTCATGTTTGTATTCTCTTAATTTGTTTCATATTAAGTATGTGAAACTAAGTTCATAATGTCATTCATCATTTTGTATCTCTGACTCCATAGCAACACCCCTTCCTTCCTTTCTACAGTTTTTGAGGAAGCAATTGGCAACAGTAACATACTTTGCGCTTTAAGGTTAAAGAAAAGCACGAAATTGTGAAACGCATCCTGTTACCACAACACATCAGTCAATATACTGAACCGATAAACAAAGAAGGTCTAAATAAACCCATTAAAAATATTATACCAGCCCTTTTTATGTAAAGAATTTAGGATTTTCTCATGCAAAGCTTCTTGCACTGTTGTGTAGAATAGACAGTCACTTCCCATTCACATTTTTTTTTTCATTCACAAAAATTCAGCAATTTAATTTTTTTTTTTTTATCTCCAGATTTTTGTGTCAAAGAGTGATGGCTGCCTTGGGGAGGGCTTACTTCTTCAGCATGGGTTTTCGAGTGGTGGTCAAGGGTAAGCAGGCCAGCAGCCATGACGCACCCATCCTGGCTGTGGCCCCCCACTCCACTTTTTTTGATGGGATTGTCTGCCTTGTAGCTGGCCTGCCCTCCACTGTCTCCCGTGTCGAGAACCTCGCCACACCCATCTTTGGCAGTAAGATACTTTTTGCATGATTGTTTCGAACAGGAAAGTAGGGACAAACTGTGTTTGTTATAGTCCATTTCCATCTGCCTTCACCTGAATGCACAGTTTCCCACTCTCTATGAAACGTGGGAGAGCTTGTAATATATATACAATGGAATGTCATTACTTGCTGCCTGTACTGGGTATCAATTAGTCCAGTACTTTGGAGTTGTCATTGACATAAATCCTTGTTATAGTAAGTAAAATTTACAAATGCACTCTATGAAGTAAACACGAGCTAAGACATTGATTAATATAAGCCTTTTCATCCATCTTTTTAAAAGTAATAACAACATGTAACTTGTTTCATTTCATATCTGTCACATGTGATTTGTTAAACAGTGATATCACTCTGTCTTATTTAACACTTACAAACGAATGCAAATAACCAAAGCCTGTGCACCAGATTAGTGGAAAATATGATCAAGATTACTATATTCTTTTGTATGTTCATTACCATTAATCTTTTGTTCTCTCTTTAGGGTTCCTTCGGAGTCTCCAGCCAGTGCTGGTATCTAGAACAGACCCAGACTCCCGGAAGAACACAATCAACGAGATTAACAAGAGAGCCAAGTCAGAAGGCCAGTGGCCACAGGTCTGGCACTGCAGTCATTCTCAATAAAAATGACTTTTATATGAATTTATTCTTTGTTTCCAAAGGAAAACTGTATTCAGTGTTGACTCAGATTATTTTAAAAGCAATCTTTGCAATTTTGAGGGGTATTATTTTACCATTCAGCAAGGATGCTTTTTTTTCAGGTTCTTATATTTCCAGAAGGAACATGTACAAATCGCTCATGTCTTATCACGTTCAAACAAGGTAAGATATAAAATGTACATTTTGTGTAGTGTAATCATTAGTTTAATTTCTATCAGCATGTCAAATGCAAATAAAAAAGATAGCAACATTTTACTATACAAAACTTAGATCTACTACTGTATTATAGAACATTTAGTATTTTCTCTTAACATAAATCAAATCCATGTAATACATCGATTTCATAACAGAGAGTGCTTCTTCGTACGTTATTCCATTTAATCAATATTTGATGTGGTTTGTGTTTTAACTTTTGGTTAACTGATGCCTATAAGAGTGGTTCTGTATGTGGTGAGAGAATGGAGAAGTCAGAGTAAAATCATATAGTTTTACAGCTATGCACTTCATGTTTAACTACACGCTGTGTGTTTTTTTGTTTTTTTTAATTTAATACCTATTGTTCCCCACGCCACTTTTAGGTGCCTTCATTCCTGGTGTTCCTGTGCAGCCTGTGCTTCTGAGGTATCCTAACAAACTGGTAAGTAGGGTTGTGACAGTAATAGATTTTCATTTTTCGTACATATACATACACAGCCAGTAATATCTGTTCAGTGATGTAGTGCAAAACTATAGGAATAGTGTATATATTGGATTCCCTGTTGGATTTGTAGATTTGCTCACAAACAAATGAACAGTCGTATTTTTTATGATTGTTTCATTTTATTGGAGAACGACTTACTTTCTAAACCTTTTACCTTTTTTTGGTTGTGGCTCGGCAGTTCAAAGCTTCAATTCCCTCCAGATTTTCGTGAGGATTGTGGGCTTCTCTCATCATTGTGTTCACTAGGAAATCTAAAAGCATGACATTCCTATATATTTGTAAATGATTTTAAAATTTATACCAGTGTTGTAGTGGATAATATAATATGACACAGTCCTATGTGCAGACTGTCTTATACCAATGTTAAAGATTCAGGAATGAATGAATAATATACTTGTGTTTTTTCTCTGTAGGATACAGTGACTTGGACATGGCAAGGATTCAAGTCGTGAGTATGCTTTATAGAGTTTTGCCTCTTCCAGTGTACATCACTCGATCTATAAGTATGCATGTCTAAATATGCATATTTATAAATTGCATGCATTTGTAAACTGTCACTTTTTCCCAGAAAATAAACATAATTATTGCACAATTATATGGCTGCCCTATTTTTACAACACTGTAGTTCTAATGAATGAGAATATATAACAGTTTTTTTGATTATGCAGGAAAACACTTCTGCTTTTGACACTGTGCCAGCTCTACACAACAGTAGAAATTGAGGTAAGAGATTTTCTGATTTCTCGTAGTGTTTGTATAATAACATTATCTCATGAAGTCGTTTAAAGAGTTTTAGTTATTTTGGATATATGATGTACTCAAAAGGACTCTTTTAAACTAAGGCTAGCAGGAGTTTTTATTTTCCTTTTTGGTTTAAGTGTACTTTTTGTTTGACTGTTCTCATACACTTCTCATCTGTTTACATGCTTCCCAGTTCCTCCCACCTCATATCCCCACAGAGGAAGAGAAGAAAAGCCCCGCTCTGTTTGCCAGCAGAGTACGAGAAACTATGGCCAAGTAAGTGTTCATTAGTCTTAAGCGTATAATGTATTATGTAAAGCAATTTATGTTGCCTTTTCGTAAAGAGGTTCTGTGCAAAACCACATTACACTGCATATTGCTCAAATGCAAAGTGGAACAATTTGCTATAGAAAGTAAAAGTACTGTATAAATGTTTAAATAAGTCATAAATATAGTGTTATGCACATGCAAGGCTACTAAGCTGATAAGAAAATAAACAAGTGGTCAGTATTGGAGAGTGAGTGCAATTTGTCAAACTAAATTTGCATTTTTTACTGTCTTTAGGTCTATATCCATGCACAGTGAATCTGGCTATTGCTTTGCTATAATCTTTGTGTGCCTTCTTTGACTACTATAGTGAGTTGATTAAATGTCTGCAAACCTTCTATTTTTAGGGCTTTGGGCGTTCCTGTGACAGACCACACATATGAAGATTGCCGCTTAATGATCTCAGCTGGTGAACTCACACTTCCGATGGAGGCTGGCTTGGTTGAGTTCACTAAAATTAGTCGCAAACTCAAGTAAGAACATGTAATATGAGCGTTACCAAAAATTGCAGTTAGTACTGACCAATGCAGCTTCAAAGGGTTCTTATTGTTGTTAATGTTGATTATGATATAACCTGTCACCATTATGTTTGGCTCAACTAGTCTGAAGTGGGACAATATAAGGAAGGAACTTGACGGTTTTGCAACCATGGCCAGCACCTGTAAGGGGGGACGCATAACTATTGAGGAATTTGCCAGTTTCTTAAAGCTTCCTGTCAGCCCAGTCCTCGAGGATCTGTTTAGACTGTTTGACAGGGTGAGAAACTTGTATGTTAAATATTTGTTAAACATTATATGTTGAAATCAACTGAACATTACCCTTTTCAAATATCGCCGTGGCGTGGCACCACTTCACAAGGTTTTAAAACAGCCAGTATTTGGCCTGGCCAAGCGAATGACATTTATTAGATGGACACATTTGAATGTGAATGATCAGTAAAATAGTGAAGTTCATTTTACTGATAGCTGTAGTATTTATGTAAGTTTAGGCACTTTAGAAAAACTTCACTTGCAAACCCTTAAAAAATAAAACACCTTTTATATTTATTTTTATAAAGCTCTAATAGGGTATGTGAAATGAAGTGAAAATCCAATACATTTCTGTGTCACAGTGCTGCACCAGTTGGAGGGGGAAAGCTACTGAGTTTCATACTTTCTGTTCTCTTATCTGTGTTCATCACTTTCAACATGAGTCAGAGAGCATGTGTTTACTAAAAACTGAATGTTACCTTGTATCATATGCAGTTCATAAACATGTTATCAAATCACTATAGTAGTAAAGACTTAATCAAATAGTATTATCACTATTACCAGACACCGAATAACAGCAGACAACAAGCGCTTGCACCATAAATGATTAAATGCTGTCGATCATAATAATCTTTACATTTAACAGCTCATCTGTTCTACTTGACCTCTCTCTCTAGAATGGAGATGGCACTATAGACTTCAGAGAATATGTTATCGGTGTGAATATCCTGTGTAGGCCATCTAACACTGAGGATGTTCTCAAAATGGCTTTCCAGGTGAGACCATACATTTGTCATACTGATGTGTTCATATTAGGGGCTGAATATTATGCAAATCTCTTGGAGTGAAGCAAGAAAAATTACAACAGCTCCTTTATTGACTCGCCCAAGGTAGCACTACTATGGTTTTTGCAAGGCAAATTACCTTCAAGGGTATTTATACATTTCTGTATAAATACCCTTCTGTACACCTAATATGTTACTTCTATTGCATCATGCATTTCCTGCTGATAGTAGTTTTATCACTCTATCATGATAAACCAGTAGCTATGAAGGATATATCTGAGATGCTTAAACTGTAATCTGTGACAATTTGTGAGAAGTATAAACAGTGCAACTGTTATGAATATGAATATATATGATGTTTATATATGAAATATATACCCCAAAATATAAAAAGCATATACACTTTGCAAAAGGAATAAGCTAAATGCAAAAAATAACCAATGTTAAGATAAAATCAACCAGCCCAGCCCTTACTGTCTGTGCACAGCAGCAGCTTTAGTATAGCAAGAACAAAGGCAGCATACAATTCACAGAAGGTTGCATAATGTCAGGCTAACAATGTGTGTCTGCTGTGAACATTTTGCTGGCCATAGAGTCAGATGCAATTTGAACTTACTAATCAAAACTTACTTTCTCCTGCTTCGTGCAACGTCCAAGATCATTTTGAAACCTTTTTCTTGAAAGTCGTTACTCATTTCTCACTTTTTATTATCTTTCATGCAGCTTTTTGACACAGATGAAGATGAGAAAGTCACCCATGACGAGTTTACTGCTCTGCTGTGCTCTGCTTTGGGTGTGTCAGATGTAGACATGACCAAACTTTTTGAAGCGATTGATGCCGATGGCTCTGGTTTCATTACCTTCAGTAAGTAGAATCTAATTGAAGAGAAAAGCCTAATGCAAAACTCCCATTATGTCTTGTGGCCTCTTATTTGATTTCTGGTGATATTTTGTCAAGAAAATGTTAAATAAATAAAATAATAATAACAATAATAATGGATTGCATTTATATAGCGCTTTTCGAGACCCTCAAAGCGCTTTACAATTCCACTATTCATTCACTCTCACATTCACACACTGGTGGAGGCAAGCTACAGTTGTAGCCACAGCTGCCCTGGGTCAGACTGACTAAATTGTTCAAAAAATAGTTCATTATTATTGTGTGTACAGCACCCTGTAGTTTTTCTCTGTTCTGATTCTTTAGATGAATTTCAAGAATTTGCTGCAACCCATCCTGAGTATGCCAAGCTCTTCACCACCTATCTGGAACTTCAGAGATATCAAGCTATCCAAGAAGCAAACCCAGGTGATCTGGAACTTGCTGGTCAGCCCAGTTCAGGGGAAGAACCAGAGGAGAGCACATCTGACAAAAAAGATGACTGAGACAGACCATAACTGTGACTTTTATTTGACTTCACTGAAAAGAGAAATGAATACAAGGCTGTTGCAGTCTTGTCAGCATATTCAAGTCACTGCAACAGCAATGGTCATATATGGTGAAGCGCTTGCATTTTTATAGTTTTAAAAAGCTTTAATTTTCGATTTTAGTGCCTTATAGATAAAAAGCAACTTACCCCCAAATTTTTTCTGTCAGTGTATTTTTGTGTATGCTTTGCTATGACACGAAACACAGATGGGGTGCGTCCATAGCAGGACAATATGTCTGAAAACTGGTCATTGTTTTAAATAAGGTTTACACCTATTCTTCAGTCATCACTGTGGTTTTTGCTGGGTTTTTACTGACGGAGATGAGCACAGCCTTGTGCACCTTATCCTTTGTCTTTGTAATTTTTCTTTAACAGAGTGGGAAATCTTGCCACATCAACACAAATTTTAAATGTAAGCAAAGAGTCCTTGTGCTTCTTTATTACAGTATAATTAGAGTACTGTAAGCAACCCAGATATGTTCTGTTTTAAAATTTTGTCTACAGTGAGCATAGATGCTGTGCATTACACTTTTCCCACCCTCGGTGCTCAGGGACACAGAACTTGTAACTCAGCTGTATAATTAGCCAGAAGTTTGCTTTGCATGTGTATCTATTTGCATTTCTACTGAAGATTGTTGTTGCTGAGACAGCACCACGTCTGTGCAGCTTTAAGTTTACTAAAGCAAATCAACCACTGAAAATAGGGCAATTTGTGAGCAAAAAGGCAACGGTGCTTCTACACAACAGCATATTCCAGTGGGGTACGCTTTCAGACCCGATTAACTAGAGGCATTGTTTTTTATTTAGTGGGTTGTATTGCAATTATGTTTTGCTTTTTGTTAACACTGCAAAATGTTATTTTTAAAATAAAACAAGAACACAATCCTCTTTTCCATTTTTTTTTATTCATCACAGAGGAAACTTGTAATGACTTTCATAGACTTTGTTTCTATTAAGGCATAAGTGCAATAAACAGGCTACAGCTGAACTGCTGTTTTTCCAAAATCACCACAAGGTGTCAGTAGTTACCCATTACAGTTCTGTTGTGTGTGCCTTTTTTCTTCACCCACTTGCCAATGTGAGTTAAAATACCTTGTGTCTATTTTGACTGTACCTTACTTTGATGTTGGCGCTAGACAATGAGGTTTAAACTAGGGGAGGAATTAAAGGCAGGCATGTACTGATAAAATTGGATATATGTTGTTGTGCATGTTTGTAAGATTTACCTCATTACTGGCCAACATGGATGATTTTTTTAAGCTATGGATATCTATAGTATGATTCAGGGGTTTTTTCTGATTACACTTGCTATGGATTTAAATGTTAAAATTATTTGAATCAGAGAAATATTTATGCAAATAAAATAACATCCTTGCATGTCTTGAAAGAATGTGTCCACTTTTATCATTTAAGAATTTTCAATTTCTAAAAAAAAAAAAAGATTATAATCACTTATCATTTGGTACATATTGATCTGTCAACTGATTGGTGAAACTGTTGCTTTTACGTTTACCTTACGTTTTAGCACAACTGTGTGATCCTCCTCACCTGATCTCAGCAGAGAACAACCACTAAATGCAACTTTAGTCTTAATACAATTTTGGTTACTTTGTTCTCACATCTACAGAAACACAAAAATGCACAGTCTTGCTTTATATGCACAGACAAGGCAGAAATGAGCAATGGAGAGCGGCCTCTTCATTGAAAGCCCGCTGTTACACAAACTGTGATTACCAGCTGTGATTTCCACCTTCAATTTGTTTTAACCTTTTCAAACATACAGACGCTCATTTAATTTTAATCAAAATTGATGAGGTGGCATGGAATCAATTAAATCACATTGTCGCCGCGCTTACAACAGTGTGACTCCCTCCCTACCCCCAGCTTCTGCTCTTCTCTTTGGCCACATCTCCCTCCATCCTCACACTTTCCTCTGGATGGTTCTTCTATATTGCTGTATCCATTTGAGCCATGCCTGCAGGGCAATCCTGTCGCAGTAGATTGTGGGAGAGATGTGTTGGTAATCTGATTTGGTCTCCTCAGGACCTGAGTGAGTGATCAGCCTCTGTGGATGCGAGCTGGACACAGGCCTCATACGGATTGGGGACTCACCGTGCCAAGCTGGAAGGAAAGGTCAAACCCGACAGGCCTCACTCCTAAATTAATGTGACTCAACTTTGGGCCTCAATTTAACCGAGCTGCCTTCTCAGGCAAAATCAGAACCAGGAATCAGTCTTGGCGGAGTTCCACTCTGCAAACTGAAATCCATTTAGTGTATTTCAAAAAGTTTAAGGATGATTTTTATGTTGCGCTGACAGGTTTGACTTTCAGTATACAAGGCAAACACTCTAGTCCAAGCAATCCCAAATATCATGTTTTAACATCTACAAATGCTCACCATATCCAAATCCACATTTTGCTCATGTAACTCCAGAAACAACAGAATAGTCTAATTCATCTGCTTTTATGTAATATTAATAAAAAAAAAATGTCTGTGAAGGTTCTCAGTCATCCAGGTCATCGTAGTCAAAGGAGCTTGCAAAGAAAAGCGTCTGGACTTCTTTAAGAAGTCTTAATAAAAAAAACAAACAAACATGAAAAGTCCCCAGCTTTGTTATTGCAAGGATGTTTTAGGAATCTTACATAAGAGGAAGAAATCAAAATAACTTCATGTTCCTATAGAATCGACTTTCCTGATTATAAAAACAGGATACCTGGGTGTGTGTATACATAGTCGTCTGACCCTCCTTCCTATGAGTGACGAACATGGACATAAGGTTTCAAAAACACAGTATTAACGTTAGCTTACAGGTCAGAGGAGTGCACAAAAGTTCTGGCAAGAAGAGGTTGGCAAGCTGAAATGCTTGAAATGTTTGGATGAAAGTACGTAAAAGGTATTAACGCTTTTACCCCACCCAAGCTTGAAATTAGGCCTTAAAAAGATAACATGTAGGAAAAATGATAAAGGCTTTGATCTCTGGTCCACTACAAATGCTTTGTTCTTCCTGGTTGTATCAATTGTAAAGTGGAGATCTTTTCCACTGATTTGGCATGGCATAATGGGCTTTCACTTTGAGATGTGCTGCATAGTTTACCAAAAAAAAAAACAGTCTATGAATGTTTGGCAGCATTATGGCCCTCTGTAAAGATGAACCCACTGTTTAATCTGCTGTCAGTTCAGCTGTACTAAAGCCAGCTGGAAAGGCTGAACGTGATACAGGTGCTGGGTTCAACTGTAGCTCAGTGTAAATGTTTAATTTAATTCCTCTCTAGACGCTGGTATTTTGATTTAATACATTTTTACTGCGATCGGTGCACTCATTAGTACACACCTTCACAGCTCACATGTTGGACCACCGTTGACTTTTGCTAGCTTAAGCTTAGCAGTCTTTCTCCTTCAGCTCTTCAGGGAGTTCCTCCAAATTTCATTGTTACATTTCCTTATCACACCAGATGACACCTTGTTGATTTTCATTCTCCTATTATTCTCTCAGAAAAGTGATTGCGCCTCATTTCCTGTGTAGTGGTTTATAGAAACAGTGAAGGTCTCGGTGAGGGCAAGGTTCGGGGAACCTTATAAAACATCAGTTATCCAGCACCAGTATCTGCACCAGTATCTGCACTAGTATCTGCAGTGAAAGTTTGTTTTCTTGCTCAGTGTTTAGGGTGTTTCACATCTCTGTCTGATTTCCAGATGGTTCTGTGAATGAAGGGCAACAACTTTTCCTGCGTAATAGTCGAGGATGGGTCAGCATGAGGTTGAAATAAAGAAATGTGTCTTTTATTTGCCAGTGAGACTGGCCAACAAAGGTGTGAAAGTGTTTCTATTTTTCAAACAAACCCCAAATAATGCCTAGATCAGTGGTTCTTAACCCGGGTTCGATCGAACCCTAGGGGTTCGGCGAGTCAGTCTCAGGGGTTCAGCAGAGCCTCCACCGTGACATGCACGGCTCATTTTGTGCATCAATAAAAAACATATCTATGTCTTGAATTTGAAAAAAATCTTTTTTTATTTTTCACTAAAGAGGGGTTCAGTGAATGCGCATATGAAACTGGTGGGGTTCGGTGCCTCCAACAAGGTTAAGAACCACTGGCCTAGACACTCATTTTCTTCCTCTTTTTCCTACTTGATTCCTATTGCCAACAAAACTTGCTCATGCGTTACAGTGTTTACAACAGTTTCACAATATGTGTTTATGGTTACAGCATAGAAAAGTAGAAGTTGGAGGATGGAAATTGAAATGTGTCTCTTAGAGGAGATGTTAGTGCAGTCTGATTCTAATCTATAATTTGAAATTTTATGTAAGACTTCCTGATCAACTGTAGCCTTTTTTCAAACCATAATCATGTCAATCAGCATGCTATTAGGCTTCCCCTTTCAGGCCAATGATTACTACCCACAACTGAAGGGTTGAAAGGATGTGACCAACTGAAAGATAAAAGTCTTTTTGATATACTGATGAGGACTGATGGAGGACTTTTTAGAGACAATGGCATTCTTACAGATTTTCTTTTGTGTGTACGTGTTGGCTGAAGCTCTCTTTACTAGTCTGCAAGTTTGGATTGTCTTAGACATATTTTAAGGATGTGCTGTGTGCTGCTCGGAACATGGCTCTCTGTCCCCAGACATCTGACTCAAACTGCTGTTTCACTCACCAAATGTATACAGCAAGAAGGGAAAAAGACTTAACATTGCTGAAGTAGTTAAACCTTTGCAGATACTACTAAAGCCTAGAGGGGAAAATTTAATGACACTCCTCCCTTAGTGAGGCCTGGAGAGATTTAAAACAGAGAGCTTTAAAGGGGGAGCAGAACAAAACAAACCCACTCAGTACTAATACCATGAACTGATTGCCATGTAGTAAAGACCTGGTAAGTTAAGTCTGCGGAATGACCACGTAAGAATTGCATTTTTGTTTTTATGTGTAAGGGCAAAGGTCCTTTCTGTTAAAATTGTGGCCTATGGATTTACAGAATAGCCTGAAAGTCTCATTTAAGCTGTGTCATATGTGTCTGTTTTGAACTTAATTATAAGGTAAGACAGAAAGGTATATATTTGTCATTAAGAAAGTATTTATAATATTACCAAGACTGAAACTATTAAGTAGAATAGGTGCATATGGCATTGTATGGAAAGAAATGTTTGTGTGGTTTTAAAGGGCATTAGAAGGGAAAAGTCTTTGCTTTGCCCCTAACTAAATGTTCAGGTTAATTCTAGAGGGTCATGCTGTGGCAGCTGAGAGATTGCCTCTCCGTTTATTACAGTTTAAGCCTAAGGTCAATCAGGAAGAATCCAACTCTTAAGAGAAAAAGAAGACTGAGGAAAAAGTGGAGGATAGAAGAGGACTTAAAAACTCCATGGATACAGCATGATTAGGGTTATAGACTGATTTGCCCATTCCCAGTATTTGACCTGCATTATGCACCTGCACAGCAAAAAATTGTGAGGACTATTACCTTTAAAATAAATGTGCTATTGTATAATATTTAAGATGACTGAAAATTTGAAGGAACACACTTGTTGAAGGTACATCATAACAAAACGCAGTACATGCAATTTAGCTGATTATGGTCAATTTTATTCTTACCTAGAGATGCCATTTTCAAATGTAACTGGCACTGCAAAATAAAGTGCAAAAGAATAGAAGTAATTCAGAAGAAAAGGGCAGTAATAACACATTATCCTACCTTGTTACCTGGTCCTTTGTCTTACCATCACTGCAGTTATTCAATCTTCACAAACAAAACGCCTCCAACCAGCCCTGTTAGGGTTTTTTAAAACAAGCACTGGAGAGCAAAGAGGACATTCATTGACTTTAATGGGATGAACTGATCAACCATATCTAATAGAAATCATTGCCCCTGGCAAAAGCTGCTTTAGAATTGAATTACACATGGGACACAATGCTTTTATGGCTTCTTAGAAAACTGTAATTCAATCTGTTTAGTGCAGAGAAGAAACAGATAAAGTCCAAATGAAAACATTAAAAAAAAGTTTTGGTGTATGT